CAAAATTTTTTTAAGACAGGCATCTACGCTTTAAAATCTCGTTGGGAGAAGTGTATTGAAGCGAATGGAGCATACTTTGATTGAATAAACAGCTTTTGAAGAAAGATATACAGTTTTATACAATCACTTAAGAATCCGACATTTCATATGCACCAACCTAATATTTTCAACGTATTTTCAAAAACTGTCCTTTTTACTTTCTTTTTCGAAAAAGATCCAGATGATATTTCATGTCTGTCGCGCACACTGCGCGTGTTTAGGAAACGCTCAAAGGTACGCGCTCATTAATTACAGTCATTAATTATCCTTCAACTTTTCCATTACGGACAAGAAGAAGAAGATATCGTGCGCCGCGCTAACTAAACACTACGCGATGACAAGACCGCAGACCACTTGTAACTTGGAAAGGCTGTGTTTTTTTTTCCCCCGCTCATACGTTCGTATGAACTTTTTACTCACCACTTAAACGAATATAACACCGCAAACAATGCCGGCGGTTCGAGCTACACCCTGCAAAACGGCGCGCATCCGATACCCTCGACGCGCGTCCCGTACTCAGCCCTTAATTTATGGCAGCTTAATGTCAAACAAATAAACTCGCCCGCCTCGCAAATTTACTTCCGGCTTGCGTGGCAGTCATGGTCACCGCCGGAATAAACATCCCCTTTTATTAGTTCTCCTGCCATCGAAGGCCTAAAAGTGGGGATGGAGCAGTTTTACCCCGCTTCCTCTGGTAGATCAGAGAAAGAGAAACAGAGAGAGAGAGAGAGAGAGATAAAGCGCACTTTGCTTTTCACTTTTTGCCGGACGCTTTTTGTTGCGCGCGCCACGCTCGAAGGATTTATTAGTGCCGGGTTACCTGTCGGGGCCCCCTCTTTTCCTCCCGTGATAACCGCGCCGTAACTCCGGTAAGTTTCGGATTATTTCCCTTTTTTTTTCTCTGCGTACGTGAGCGGCTCACGATCGTTTTNCCCCCCCCCCCCCCCTCCTCTCTCGACTGATAAGGATTTGAAATATTCCGCGCGCCGCCGAGGCTCGATCATGTGCGATACGTAAAGGATCGCAATTATACCGCGGGGGTCAGCGTTGTCGCGATAAATCGCCGAGTAGAGCGAAGTATAGGGTGCATGTCATTAACCCGATTCCTCCTCGTCCCTCTTCTCAGCCCCTTTTTGTCTTCTTTCCTGCTTCTTCCTCTCTTGTTGCAATCAAGCGGAATATTAAGAAGCATCGGGGCTGGGAGGACGTAACGCGAGATGTTGTCCGAAGGCGGTTCGCCCCATCCCTCTTGAATCGTTCTCTTTTTGGACGACGGACGACTCAGACTGGGCAAGCTTCCAGGAGCCTGTTGGGTTGAGTTTTCGGAGTTTTACTTACCGGTGGGAGACGCGTGGAGTGATGGTATCGGGGCTGCGGTGGATGTTGAAGTCGGAAATCAATGGGTCGCCTCTTGCGGTCGCCGATCGGAAACTCGCCAGCGCCACGCGAAATATCAATTCTTGATATTAATTATTGGCTTTTGGCGCGACGTTTCTTTAAAAGGTCGCGCGAGACAAACGGCCGCTATAAAGGCTGCGGGGCTACGGTACTCGCGCAACTCGTGTTATCAGCAAAGTTTTCGAACACGACGATTCGTATCTACAGCCCAGACAAATAGGGCGGATCGCGCGCACAATGCAAAGGGCCCTACGGCTGTTCTGAAAATAAGCGGCGCACACTTCCGTACCCGCAGGTGCGTCAAGCGCAGATTGAGCCGTGTAACCATCAAGTGCAATCGAAAATAACTCGCTCGAAATACGACCTGTGTGTGTGTGTGTGAAACACGATAACCATCCGACGACCTATAAAGTGTACGCGCGTTCCCACAAAGAAATTCAACGATGCAAATTTCCAATTCACCGATCAAATGAAGAAAAACGTATTACTACAACTAGGAGCGCTCGATCGAATGTCGCATATCCTGCGATTTCCCGCAACTGAGGCGCCCACCCCTCCCTCTCGTCTCTTCGAGCCATTCAAACGGCGGTTTTAACAGAAGCTACGCGGAAATAGCGAGTTACGAGTCGAGAATTTTCTCAAGGAGTCGTCGAAAGTTATCTCGGCTTTCTCAATGTCAATTCGACGGTTACTTATTCGCGATACATGGACAAGCGCATCGTCGACGCGAAGGAAGCGAACAAACGGCCGTTTAAGTTGCTTATCGTCGTGGGAAATTTTTGGCCACGAAAATAGACGCCCAACGCGGCAGCTAAAGACTTTCGGCACTTTGCGACAATGTACCGCAACTTCGTTCCTGCAATGGTTCTCAAGAAGAAGAAAACTCAATTAACGAGTATTTACGCAACCCTACCGCAATTGTCACGATCGATTAATGCTTCCTCATCAGTCGCGATCCCCTATAGTCATACACAACACGCGTCAAACTAGTTCGGCTAAAGTTCCGGAGTTCAGATCTTATCTAACCGTCAAAATACCGCACAAGATACCACATAACGGCCTAGGTCTGATCACAGCCATATTTAATGCCCGTCTTCGAGTCGCTTGCGTAGGAAAACAATGTCGGAGTAGTCCTTTGAGCCACTAAAGTCGGCGAGCAAGCTCATTATTTAACAGAGTATTATCAGAAAATAACCTTCTCTCTCCGTCGTTGTGCAAAAATCAAATAACTCGCGCGCGTGAAACAGTTAATAATCGATATCACGGATTGATTGAACTGTCGTAAGAACATTTTCGTTAACATATCACAAATTTATGTTGGAAGTTAAGCATTAGCATTAAAATTGAAATAACGAACGCCACGTGCATCAACGGGAACGTGATCGAAGGAAATTCTCGGAAATTTTACTTCGTAGACGGAGCAAGTAAAATTTTCCTTCGCAACTAATTTCATCGATAACGTCAGACGAAATAATAAATTCTCCGGCGAAACCGGAAATCTATAACTAATATAATTAAACATTTTACTTTCTGTTCTATTGGTAATTAATCGAGTTCCGCACCATCAAAAATCAATGGCTGTCACCCGTGTCAAAACCCAATAATACCTAATATCACGTAGAGTCAATATCTCTCGGGTGATATTAAAAATCAATAGCCTGCCATTTTATCGAACATCAGTAACTTCCTCGTAAGCTCCAATTTTTAAGTAGTTCTTAATTCTACACCTTCAAGGATAGACTATATTGTAATATAATTATGGAGACATTAAAAGATGTCCGATCAAGCTGCTTCGGCTAAACAATTTAAATTCCCGCTGCAATTCATGAAGTCATACAGCAGTTCGAAGCCAACTGTTCGAGGCGATGATAAATTTGTAGGAAGCATTTATAGAAGTCATCCACGCGAGAAAAGCGAAGTCTTTCATAAACGAGAGTCGATAAAATTCATTCTCTTACGCTACGCGCAATAACACAGCATAACTATTCCACTCAGAAATGACGACGCGAACGAGAAGCATAGTAATTTGAATTCCTTCACGTTCCGCGAAATACCTTCAAGGTGCGCGCGAAAGTAACGCGAATTCGCACGGTCCTGATTCGCCTTGCAATTGACAGGTCAATTTCATCCCCAAGGAATTCTTTGTTTGTAATAAGAAGTCATTTCCGAGAATCGATGCGCGGTATTACATATGTTACGGACAGTGTCCGCCGATCTTAGCTGACAATCGGAATTGTGTCACGGGAACATGGGCTATCTTGAAGTGACAGCTCACGAATGTATCCGGAGTAACGGGGGGAAAAACAGCGTCCGACGCAGAGGTTGATTGCGTATCGCGAAATTTAATCAAATTTAATGAGAATTTCAAACAATAAGTACAGAATGTCCACTCAATTGGATCATTTTTACCGTAGAAAATCTACGAAATTGCGCTCACCCGAAGCTGTATTGCAAGAAATTCAGCTCGTCGAAGCTCTTATTTAAAGCGAAAACCAATATCAAATAATGAATTATGTGTTTATATAATTAATCAGTGAGAATAATATTGAGAAGGAACAAGTGACTCTGAATATGCCAGGGAGATATTTGTCTTGCAATTATCACAAAATAATTATGATTACGTCTCATTATTGAAGAGTAATGTAGTGCAACGCATCAATATAAAATAAAAGTAGTGTTTGTAACAAGATTATTAATATTTGATATGAAAAACAAACAAAAAAGAATGCACTGACGATACAAAGAGATTATATGAATATTCCAATCATTAATTTCCATAAAGAGTGAACAGCATTGCCATCTGTAGCGAAACCTCAAAAAATGTCAATGTGATCGAAATATTACCTACAGAGAATTAAGTAAAATTACATTTTAACAGATTTCTTTATGTTCAATTGTTAAGTTACATATCGCTCTATAAATAATAATTAATATTGTTAGTATAAATCAGTAGTTTTCATACTCGGATATTTGAGTATCTATCAGACGGACAAATTCGCCGGTATTACCAAAAATGGTCATGATTCATAATAAAAAATCGCGAATAATACTCGAGAATGTCTATTTACCATCTGTTATTGATTTCCGTAAAAGTTGATTCAATTTTTTTGTTTTCTTACGGTATTATGTCTACTAATTATAATATTCGAATATTTCGTTAATTCGCACAATAAGCAGATACTAGAACGCTTGGAAATATCCGAAAAATTTAAATATCTAAATAGTATCCGAGTATCTGGGTATACGGATATTGACACCATTAATAATAACACGTCTAAACTATTGGAAGAATATATTAAGCAGTACTAAATTCTTAGAAGTTATCATTTTCTAATATATTTGAAACGTAGTTGCGGAGTCCCCGTAGGACAAATATTTGTCTGTTCTGCCATACGCACTTTTGTTAGAATGATTATAACTATTCGCTATACAAGCACCACGTATGTGACGTCATCGATTTTCATGTATAGTTGCGTCACATATATATATATCACGCAATTGACTTTTCTCATATATTTTTATATATATTTTAAAAGTATTTATTGTATTGAAATTATTTTAAAAGACGTAACCTATAGTAAGAGTTTTTAAACTTTAACGTGGTAGCGAATATACTAAAATCTCCGCCTTCACGTCGAATAGTGTTAACCTAACCTAACTTCTCTTGACTTGTCAAAATACCTTCGTAGAAAAACGAAGCGAAACGTTGCATGTTATAAAACGTGTTTCAATTCTAAGCATGGAAAAAAATATTAACAAGATAACTGATATATCATGGAGGTTTGGAGGTGAGATTATTTAACGTGAATATTATACAACATTCGAAAGAAAAGGTTGAGATCAATATCAATGTTCAGTGAAATTTATTATTTCTATTTGTCATTATTGTTGTCATATATATTATTTATAGTGTTGGATTAGTTTATTCATTTATTTATTTCTCTTAGCTCTATATATGATTTTTCATTTCTTAGATCTAAGTTGCATCATACACAATAGTAATTATTTTCTTATTTCTATTTTATTGCTAATATTACTACGTTTTTAGGTACATTATATCTCAGTCAAGTCTGACAATATAAATAATAATAACTAACATATAACGGATCAGTGTTATTTCCAAAACTATATTTTAATCTACAATAAAGGATAACGCTATAATTAATAAATATAAGTATGCTATTATTTAATTTCTTGTAGTGACTGCGGCAAGCAATGATTCTGACAATGTGGCAAAATCGTTTCTACAACTTAAATTACGTCTTGACAACGACGGTAAAATCAAGAATGTGTTTACTGAGATGACGATAGGGCAATTTTACAAATTTCTACATGATTTAGAAAAGGCGAAATGTAATCTTGACCTGTTATTGTAATCAGATATATATTGTGTCCATGCTATCATAAAAATCAAATAAAAATTTCATAATTCTCCATCCATTCTTTCTCTATATATTGCATACAGTTTTATCACATTGAATATTATAAAATAATTAGAGTACACAAATGTTATGAACTATATAAATTTATACGCATCATTGTTTACATAAAATATTTTCTTATGTTACTTCTACAATAATCGATATAAACAAGTAGTTTTATATCCAAATATCTAGATATCTATCCAATACTGAAATTTATGAGTAGTACTTGACGCATTTGAATATTATACAACATAACTGGGTATTTAGAATGAAAAAATAGTGTTTAGCACTCGGGTAATATTCATTTATCATTTATCATTAATCTGTTATCCATAGTAGTTAATTTTGTCATTTCACTTTTTTCAAATATTATATTGATCATTATATTCGAGTAATTTGTATGATAATTGGGTACCCAGAAAATACACGAAATATATAATCCAAATTATATCACAATATTCGAATAGATGAATACGCAATTTTTCTTAGTTTTAAATTCAGCTAATGCAAAACAAAATTCAAGTTTTATTCTTTTAATAGTTGAACTTTAGATGAACTGTTGAATCATGATCACAAATAACAAATTGATTCTAAAATTGTATTAAACTGCATTGCGTCTGAAGACAGATCTCTGGTCAGCTCTTCAATAAAAACATGATTATAAATCTATAAACAGAACGTTATCTTTTGACTTGTCCGTCGATATTCTAAAAATTGACTTTTGTTTCAATACATACAATTTTATATCAGATCTTTTTATACAGTTTTCCCAAACTATGAAGCGATCAGATCTTTTTATACAGTTTTCCCAAACTATGAAGCGATCAGATCTTTTTATACAGTTTTCCCAAACTATGAAGCGATCAGATCTTTTTATACAGTTTTCCCAAACTATGAAGCGATCAGATCTTTTTATACAGTTTTCCCAAACTATGAAGCGATCAGATCTTTTTATACAGTTTTCCCAAACTATGAAGCGATCAGATCTTTTTATACAGTTTTCCCAAACTATGAAGCGATCAGATCTTTTTATACAGTTTTCCCAAACTATGAAGCGATCAGATCTTTTTATACAGTTTTCCCAAACTATGAAGCGATCAGATCTTTTTATACAGTTTTCCCAAACTATGAAGCGATCAGATCTTTTTATACAGTTTTCCCAAACTATGAAGCGATCAGATCTTTTTATACAGTTTTCCCAAACTATGAAGCGATCAGATCTTTTTATACAGTTTTCCCAAACTATGAAGCGATCAGATCTTTTTATACAGTTTTCCCAAACTATGAAGCGATCAGATCTTTTTATACAGTTTTCCCAAACTATGAAGCGATCAGATCTTTTTATACAGTTTTCACAAACTATGAAGCGAAAATAATCAAATATTATTACAAATGTTAACCTAATGATTAATGATCAGTCAAAAATTAAATTCGATAAGCACGCGTTTTTCCCAAAACACGAGACACGATCGCTGGTACAGGTTTATTATCACAAGTACACTATAATTTATTATTATTGCAAACATTTATTTTATAGTAAAAAAAATAATTAGAATAAATTATATGTATAATTCATACCTTGAGATTATTAGTCCTCCCTGTTTTAGAAAAATATTGCAGTTTGTTTATAGCTACGTTGTTCTTTGACTAAATTATTTCATAGATAGATAATCTTCTTGAGTAATAAAAATATCACATCTTATTATATTTCACTGAGACACAAATAATTGTATTATCAATATCCTCCAGATTTTTCATGCAGTTTCTGTTCTGAAGAATGAATGATCTGAAAGCAATATATAATAAATTGTATAATTAGATAGAAACATCTATCCTACATTGTGGCAAGATAGATGTGGGCGTACGTATTATTTACAGCTGTTTGTAAATAATATATATCACAATTATATAGGACCTGCGAACATAGGTGGAGTAGGTTTTATAAAAAACAAAATATGAAGCACTGAGTACAGAAATAAAGAATATGTCAAGTTTCGACAAATTTTAAGTGGAACGTCTAGAAAACTTCTGTTATGTGTTTCATAATACAAATAGACCATGTACAATGATGTATTTATTTCTTAATTTTACCA